ACTCAACAAGTGTTTCTTGAGCACCTACTGTGTCCAGTGCGGTCCTTGGCACTAAATGACAACAATGAACAACAGGACAAAGAAATCTCTGCCTCCACGGAGATGCCCTCTAGTGGGAGGAGCCAGGAAGCGGCCAGCAGACAGCTGTTAGGATGAAAAGGCAGGAAGGGGTCAGGAGCCAGCGGAGAGGTCTGGGCCGAGTTCCCGGCCAAGGGCACAGCACCCTCGGGCCCGAGGCAGGAGGATGAGGACAGGTGGCGGGAGCAGGGAGCAGGGAGCAGGGAGGGGCTTCAGTAGTCAGGGCTGGAGGGGAGACGCTGGCAGTGCTTGCGGGGCTCACACGGGCCAGAACTTTCCATCCTGACGCCTACGGAGGCCCACGCGGGGTCAGGCTCGGTCTCGCAGAGGCCTCACTGCTGGCCGCGCGGGTGAGGGGGACGCACCTGCTGGCAGGGCCTGCGGCTGGAAAGGATGCCCGTGGCTCGTTTAGTCCCTGGCCCGCATTTCTGTGGACACCAGCGTCTTCCTCGCCTCGGCGTTTCTGGGTCAGACCGGGCCGGGGGCGCCCACCTGTTTAATCCCCCCACGGGGCTCGGCGCCCATATGGGTCCGGAACCAAAGGCCGGAGCCGCAGGTGGTCCACAAGGGCCGCGCTGGGGCTCAGAGGGTACTGAGCAGAACCAGAGGGCCCACCGAGGCGCAGGAGCGCTTCCGACGCCGCGCGATGGCCTGAGGAGCCGCGAGGGCCCCGCGCCTCTGGCAGCAGCCGCTCCCGCCGACCAGCAGGTGAGCAACCCGCAGCCACGCCCCGCGGGGGAACTCCCTCGGGACCGGACCTTCGGGACGCCGCGATTGAACTTCCGGCTCGAGGCGCGCGCACGCGCACAGCAGAGCAGCGCACCGGAAGTGGCCGCTGTCGGGCTGCGCTGGCTTCCGCTCCGTCGCCTCCCATTCGCGGTGGTGAGGGGATCGGAGCCGGCCGTGCGGAGCCCGCGAGGAGCGCAGGGATGGGCGCCGTCGCCGCGGGTAAGTCGTGGATTGGCCGCGCGGCCTCCGGCGCCCGGGACGCGAGTCTCCTGCCGGCCTGGCTCTCTGCGCCGCGGCCTCGCCCGGCGCCGCGGCCTCGCCGGCCTGGGCCTGTCACTTCCAGGAGCTGCCCAGGGAGCTGTGGGTGCTGGCGCCCCGGGAGCCCGGGAGCCCGCGGTCCCCGAGGATGGCGGCCGTTGCGGGGAGAGGGCTGGGGCGCGGGGGAAGCGGGGGAAGCGGGCCGTCACCTCGGCGACCCTGTGCTCCAGGGTCGGACCCCAAACTCGGCGCCGCGGACCAGACCTGCTGACAGCAGCCCAGACGCTTCCATGCTTTTTAAAGAAATATATTTTCCTTGATTTCAGAGAAGAAGGAAGTGGGAGAGAGAGAAGCATCCATGATGAGAGGGAGTCATGGGTCGGCTGCCTGCTGCACACCTTACACTGGCGATCCAGCCCGCAACCCGGGCTCGTGCCCTCACCAGGAATTGAACCCTGACTTCCTGGTTCAAAGGTCGGCGCTCAACCACGGGCCACAGCAGCCGGCCCTAATAAGAGTTCTTGATGTTTTACAGCTGACGGTGCCCACGGTACTCCCTTCCCATGACTCACTAGATGCCCTGTACGGTTGTCAAAACTACTGCGGCTGTTTCCGCAGCACTGAAGTCACCGCCACTCCAGTCACAGCTCATCCTTCCAGTTTCCCTCACAGCAGTTCTGAGAGCTCCGCCTGCACGCGAGACGCCACCATTCTCCACGTGGTTGCTTCGTACCTCTGCACCCCCTGATCATCCTTAGTCCATCAGGTATGTCCATGCGCGAAGTGTTTCTTGAGGGCCTACTAACACCGTTTTAGGTAATGCAGAGGCAATGCCTAAAACCGCTCCTTTTCTGGACCTTTAGATCCCAGGTGGAGAAATGGCACATGTCCAGATTGAAGATGCCCCGGCTCGGGGTCAGAGGCAGGTGTTGGGAGGGCACCCAGGATTGACTGGGTGGGAGAGGACGGTCTGCCCTTGGTTCCATCTCTGACGCCCTGTGGTTCACCATCTTGTTGAGTTTCCTCCTCCAGTGAAACACTCAGTGTACAGAGTTGTGGTGAAACACCAATGAGATGGTGATCATGAAAGGGCATGTGATTACTCTTCATTGGTTCTTTTTGATAAGTAATGAGGGTCAGGATTGCAGACCATTGGGACAACTTATGAAGAACCCTGAGTGCAGGCTGGGGAATGTGGACTGGAGCCTGTTAATGCTTTCAGTCAGGAGTGATGTGATGGAAATGGCATCATGGAAAGATGTTTCTGGTGCCAGAATGCAGCACAGGTTAGAGGGAGTTTGACTGTAGGCAAGAACTTGAGTGGTATTTCCCCCCCTAAAATCTACAATTCTAGATAAGTTATGTTAAATGTTATCTTTAGGGCAAGAAAACATAACATAAAATATACCTTGTATTATATATACCTGTATACTTTGTATTCTTTTGTTAGTTTATTTATTTACTTTGTAAGCTTGTTACATTTTAGATTATCTTTGTAAAGGTTAACCATTGATGTGGTACTAATTTTTCATACAGGCCTTTTTGAATTACTTTAATTACACTAAACGGCAAAGTCATTAGTCAACAGAGCCAAATATCAACAGTATAATGATTGAAATTTCTTTTGAGAGCCAATTTTTTTAAACATAAACTTCCTCTAATGCCACTTCTTCAAAATAGACTTGCCCAGGTCGTAGTATTTTGTGGAAGAGCCACACTCAAGGGGCCAAAGAGCCGCATGTGGCTCTCGAGCTGCAGTTTGCCGACCACTGCATTAACCCAGTAAGAGCTAAAAGAGGTATACTTGTAATACAAGACTTGGTGACAGCTAAGTAGCAGAATTAATTGGGAAGTGTTTTCAAAACATATGTTCTAAGTCTAACTTTACACTAATGTAATCAGAATTTTAGTAAGTATGCCAGGTCAGATATTCAGTGATTAAGACACTAAGCTATTGTAATGTATGTTAAGTACAACTTTTCAAAATTATTACTATTATTTAAAGTTATGTAAATACTTTCAGTACTTTCAGTACTTTTCATATATACAAATTATAAGGAGGTGCTAGATTTGTCATAGTATTCCAAACCAACTTTATAATACAAATATTTGGCAATGTGATTATAATAAACTAGTGGCCCACTATAGGAAGATTCTTGCAATGGGACTTCCTGCTGGGTCGCTGCCCCACCTGCTTTCCTCCCTTCTCCCCGCCCTGCTTGCTTCTCTGCAGCTTCGCCCCCTTCTGCAGGCTTGGCTTCTTTCTATGCTGCCTTGATAAGCAAATTAACCACCATCTTGGTTGGGATAATTTGCATGATCTCCCCAGTTGGCTGGTGGGTGTGGCTTGTGTAGCAGAGTGATGATTAATTTGCATATTACTTTATTATTAGGTTAAATTATTGTATAATATCCATATATAGTAGAATTAATATAGGAAATCCTAGTGTGGAAAATGCAGAACAATTTATCCTTGTTTTCTTTTTTTGTCTGGTAATTATTTTGCAAACTTTCTAACTCACTTTAATAGTTTGTTTTCAGAATTATTTATAATTTTTCTTAGAGAAATTATTGATTTAATTTACATAGACCTCAGAGCTAAGAAAGGAAGCTTAGCCTGGCCAGCATGGCTCAGTCAATCTATGGACCAGGTCCATCAACCTATGGACCAGGAAGTCACAGTTTAATTCCCTGTCAGGGTACATGCCTCGGTTATGGGTTCCATTCCCATTGTGGGCCATGCAATAGACTGCCACTTAATGATTCTCTCTCATCATTGATGTTTCTATCTCTCCCTCTCCCTTCGTATCTGAAATCAATAAATATATATTTTAAAAAAAAGAAGAAAGAAAGGCAACTTAGAAGGGAAGGACATTGTCTGCGTGCCTCGCATTCCACATGTGCTTAGTGAGAGGGTGAATCCAAATGGTGTTTCATGCCAAGACTTCAGGTCTGTATAAGAAGACCTGGGTTCTCTCCTAACTTCACATTTACTAAAAACCTACTTTTTGCTCTAACCTGTTGGCTCAGTAGATAGAGCGTCGGCCTACAGTCCCAGGTTGGATTCTGGTCAAGGGCATGTACCTTGGTTGCGGGCACATCCCCAGTAGGAGTGTGCAGGAGGCAGCTGACTGATGTTTCTCTCTCATCGATATTTCTCTCTATCCCTCTCCTTCTCTGTAAAAAAATCAATAAAATATATATTTTTTTAAAAAGAACTTTTAAAAAATGTATTTTTATTGATTTCAGAGAGGAAAGGAGAGGGAGAGAGAGAAACATCAGCTACAAGAGAGAATCTGTTTCCTTCACGCCTCTAATGGGGATCGGGCCCACAATCCAGTCATGTGCCCTTAACTGGAATTGAACCTGGGACCCTTCAGTCCTCAGGCCAACGCTCCATCCACTGAGCCAAACCAGCCAGAGCTATTGAAGACCTCTTAAACCTGACTAAGAGTCTGTTTTGTAAGCTAGGAAACCAGTGTAGTACCTTTTAGTCTCTCTACTTTAGAGTTTTTATTGAAAAGTACATGATATATGTGAATGGTCTTTATAAATGACTAGAGGCCTGATGCACAAAATTCATGCAAGAGTAAGCCTTCCTTCCCCCGGCTGCTGGCACCAGCTTCCCTCTGGCACCCAGAACCTGGGCTGGCTCCCTTCCAGCTGCCTACAAACATCAGACCCTGGCTGGCTTCTCCTGTCCTGTCCCAGCTTTGTCAGGAAGGATGTCCAGAAGATGTTTGGTCTAATTAGCATATTACCTTTTTATTATTATAGCTAGTATGTGATAAACATGTAAAATGTTATCTATGGCTGAGTTCTGTTTTTGTCTCAGAAAAGTATAAATGACTTTTTTTTTTTTTTTTATCAAGTTAACTTTATCTTGTTTTCTAGATTGTTATTTTGTGTCAGGAAGTAATCCATGAAGTGCCAACATGGGAAAGAAACGGATAAAAGGAAAAATTGTTCCAGTTGATGATTCTTCTGAATCATTAGGTATATTTTACCAATTGAACCTTTAAAGTGATGTAAATGGCCATTTTTTAATGTGTAAAAGTGGGATCACCCTAACTCAGTGGATAGAGCTTCGGCCTATAGACTGAGATTCCAGGTTGGATTCAGGTCAAGAGCACATGCCCAGGATGTGGGCTTGATCATCCCCAGTAAGGGTGAGCAGGAGGCAGCCAATCAATGATTCTCATCATTGATGTTTCTCTCTCTTTCCCTCTCACTTCCACTCTGAAATCAATAAAAGATATATTTTAAAAAATATTAAAAAGGGATTACATTATTGTTCTGTAATTTGCATTTTTTTTAAAAAATTGATTTCAGAGAGAAATTGATTTCAGGTTGGGGATCGAGCCCCCAACAAGGGCATGTGCCCTGACTAGGAATCCAACCTGGGATCCTTCAGTCCACAGTTAACACTATTCACTGAACCACACCAGCGAGGGCTGTAATTTGCATTTCTACTTTATGTTTTATCTAGTACACTAGAGGCCCAGTGCACAAATTCGTGTACCTTGAAAGGAACTGTGGGCTATGAGGTTGCGGTAGACATAGGAGCAAGTCCTGGCCCATCTTCTGCACCCCTGCCCGGTCCCTCCTGCTGTGGCACCCTCACCTTCCTCCCCTCCCCCGTCCCATCTTTCCGGCAGCCCTACTCCTGCTGCCTCTGCTCCCACATGCTGCAGCACCAGCCCTGCTAGCACCCATTGATGGCACGGAGCAATTGGGGCCAACGCTAGGCACTGACACTGGGTGTGAGCTGGGCCAGTGTCAGCAGCAGAGGCCAGCTCTGGGCAGGACCGTGAGGCGGAGCAAAGAATTTTCAGTAACCACCAGAGCCCCAAAGACAGCGACCAGCATCCCACCTTGGTCTGGTGCCCCTGCTCACCTCCACCATCCCACCACGGCCAATACCTGCCATGTTCTGTGCATGCCCCTGGTGGTCAGCGCGTCATAGTGACCAGTTATTTGGTTGTTCAAGTTGTTCAGTCATTTGCTGTATTTGCATATTAGCCTTTTATTATTATATAAACGAAACATCCTATATGTCGTTTAACAGTTTTCAACATTTTAATGGCATGATTAGTCCATTGATAAGAAAGACCATGAGTTCATAGCTCATGTCTACTATCTACAGTTTGAAACTTCCAGTGGCTGCCGTCTCCTCTCCTTGTGCTGCTGTAACGTACTTTGGGATTCCTGTACATGTACTTGTTTCCCGCCTCTCCTACCAGAGTGTGAACTCCTCAGTGAGAAGAGCTGAGCTTGTTTCTTCTGGTTCCCTGGCATCTGCCTCAGCACAAGGCCTGCTGACTGAGCAAGCACCTCCCTGCAGATGTTTAAAATAAAGAGGATAATAAGTAGCTAAATGGCCTAAATGAAAGGAAGTAGTTAAATTCATCAAAGTGAATGTATGTAGGACTATAGAAATAGCAAAATTCCAGATTTCTCACATAATCAACTAATATTCAGATACCAAACAAAATGTTACTTTTTCAGATTATTTAACAATTTGTACCTAGGATAAATTCATATTTGAAGTTCAAATGCAAGGTAAGCTTTGAGATTCTCTGAAGAAAGTTGTATTTTATCTCATCACTCGTGTTATTTGCTTTAATAGAACCCATGTGCAGACACATTAGAAAAGGATTGGAACAAGGTATTCTGAAAAAGGCTTTAGTGAATGTGGAATGGAACATTTGCCAAGATTGTAAGACAGACAATAAAGTGAAAAATAAATCTGAAGAAGAAGCAGAAGAAAACCCTTCAGTTTGGCTGTGTCTTAAATGTGGCCATCAGGTATGCTTAGATGTTGATCATTGTGGGATTTTATAAACTGAGCTTGTTTTGGAAGGTGTCACCTAAGTACTGGGTGGCGAGGAGGATGCCAACTCACAAAGGCCATGTTCCCTAGGGAGCACGTTTGTGAGATTGAGGTGGTTTCCTGGGGTGTGTTTGCAGTGTGTCTTCACCAGGAAAACTGTGAGGGAGGCAGGACTAGGCTGAGGGAGAGCAAAGAGGCAGACCTTCAGGGCCTCAGCTAGTCTCAGGATGGGCCGTGGTCTTGGTACCTGTGCCTAGACCAGTCCTTGGACGTGGGCTGCCCTTGGTGTTGGGACAGGTGGGGTGGGGGGGCCACCCTTGGCCAAGCCAGTTTCCTTTCTCAGGATAATTCCTGAGGATGGACAGACCGAGCTGTGAGCTGTTGGCAGGCAGCTGGGAGAAGAGAGTACCTTGATCTTGTGGATGGGGTATTGGGTGCAGAACGGCTCCCAGGTATGCACACACTGGAGGTCAGGGTCTCAGGCACCTGTACTGGTTAGGCCAGTGTTGCTGAGTGGTTGGGGAGGTCACAGGGCACATGCCCAGGTTTCGGGTTTGATTCCAAGTAGGGGGCATGCAGGAGGCAGCTGATCAGTGATTCTCTCTCATCCTTGATGTTTCTATCTCTCTTTCCCTCACCCTTTCTCTGAAATCAGTCGAGATATATATATATATATATATATATATATATATGTATATATATATATTTTTTTCCTTAAATGTAAAAAAACAAACAAACAAAAAAATGCTGAATGATTCCAATATCACCTGGACCTCTTCTTTGCCCTTTTATAACCACACTCTTTTCTCCTCCTGTCCTCCCCTCAGGCAGCTATTAGTCTCTTCTCCATTTCTAAAATTTTATCACTTAAAGAATGCTATACACCCCTGGCTGGTTTGGCTCAGTGGATAGAACGTCTGCCTGTGGACCAAAGGGTCTGAGTTGAGTTTTGGTCAAGGGAATGTGCTTTGGTTGTAGGCTCCTCCTTGGCCCAGCAGTGGTCAGGGCTCATGCAGGAAGCAAACCATAGATGTGTTTTTTTCCCATCGATGCTTCTGTCTTTCACTCTCTCTGCCATTCTCCCCAAAAACCAATGGAAAAATATCCTCGTGTAAGGATTAACAACAACAAAATAATAAATAAATGTAATAAAAGTTACTCTGTTGTCAGTATTTAAGAAAAAATTGCTATACAGCCTGGCTGGCGTGGGTTAGTGGTTGAGCTTCAACCCATGAACCAAGAGCTCACTGGTTTGATTCCTGGTCAGGGCACATGTCCGAGTTGTGGACTCGATCCCCAGTTGGGGGCATGCAGGAGGCAGCTGATCAATGATGTTTCTCTCTCATCGGTGTTTCTCTCTCTCCCTGTCCCTCCCTCTCTCACTAAAAAAATCAATAAAAACATTAAAAATAAAAAATGTTATATAAATGGGCCCATATTGTATACAACATTTTTGGATTGTTTTTCACTTACATAATCACCAAAGAGGATAGAGAGCTAGAAACATCAATGAGAGACATCGATCAGCTGCCTCCTGCACACCCCCTACTGGGGATGTGCCCGCAACTGATGTATATGCCCTTGACCAGAATGGAACCTGGGACCTTTCAGTCGGAAGATGATGCTCTATCCACTGAGCCACACCAGTTTCGGCTCAGCTGCTGTCTTAAGACAACTCTTTCGTTCTTAATGTTTCAGTTGATTTGCAATGGTGATATTAAGTCTCAAAATTAATGTCAAATTTAATTCATTTTAGAATTAAATGTTGAGTGGGATGAACTGATCAGTAGTGTTTTATATCATAGTTAGAGGATTAGAAGCCACTGACAAATAGTCCCCCTCCAAAGTGTACTTTTAGCTGCACTGGAAATGACCCATCACTGTAGTGCTGCCACAGTCCAGGTATATTTCTTAGCAGGGACTCAACCAGCTGCAGGCAGGAAATGCATGATCTTTTACAAATCAGACTTTAGATCTTGTGGGTAAAAACCTCTCATTTACTTGCATACATGCATAGCCCATGGGCATAGAGGACAGTGTGGTAGGCCTGGAGGGTGTGGGGTGGAGGAGGTCAGTGAGAGGAAAAAGAGGGACATCTGTAATACTTCCAACAATAAAGAAGAAAAAGAAAAAGTTACTATGAGTTTGGAGCTATTAAAAAAATCTCATTTACTTATTCAATTAATGCTATTGACTTCGCTTTTTCTAGATAATTTTGATAATAGAAAGACTAACTCATTATTTGTGCCTTCAGGATTTACGATTCAGGAGAGGATGGACATAAACATTAGCAACTTTGATATAAGGTAGAAAGTAAGGAATGCCACCAGGAATTTACACCAGTGTGATAGGAGAGTATTCACTGGGAGAACATAAGTTTTTCCTCTGGAGTACAAGCATAATAATTCTTCTGAGGGAGGTAGCCTTGGAGTGCGATCAGAAAACTGGGTGGGATTTGAGCAGAGGCAGTGGCAGTAAAGGGTTCCGTGAAGGGAATCACGGGAACAAGTGCTGTTGGCTGGGAACATGCCGAGAGTGTCAGCTGGTAGAGGTATGTGGACAGGAGAGGACGGACCTGAGCCTGGAGAGCTGGTTCGGTCAGGGGGTCAGGTTTGTTGACTAGGACTTTAAGACAGTTTATAATCTTTGAGTTAAACATATAAACAGAGCTTTGTTTTATGAACATTAAACTGAAAAAATATGTATGTGAACAAAGAGGTTGAAGTTAGGAAAATACTATTTCTGAAGCCGATACAAAGTCCAAACTAGACCCAATAAACGCCTGCATTGGCATGGCTTGGGGGCCGGGAGGGCATGCTGCAGGGAGGGAGCACTCCTACGCGTGGTGTCCTCCACGCCAAGGTCTTCACAACATTGAGACTCGTTAGAGCCTGACATTGTGTTGTCAGAATGTGAACAAGGCAGAATTTCTCGAGCCACTTCTTGTTATAGAACATGAATTCCCTCCTTTTTGGGTGAACTTCTGTGGCCTTGACACTGGCGATGCTGGTTCCCTAGGGCTGCGGCAGGAACTCCCAGGAGCAGCACGCTCTGAAGCACTACCTGACGCCCAGGTCCGAGCCCCACTGTCTGGTGCTCAACTTGGACAACTGGAGTGTATGGTGAGTTTCAGCTTCCTGGCTGGAAATCATTGGAGAAGGGAGGAATTGGACATGCTAAAGGAGCAAGAAAGTTAACATTTTGTGTTTGTTTAAACCCACCACTTGCAGAAGGCTGGCGACTGATGTTATGAGAAGTGTCTGCTTAGTGTTGCACTAGTACAAAACTTGTAGCATGTAGGAGACTAGGAGCCCTCATCCTTGTCTCTTGCTTATAATACTGTGAAGCGTATGATTGGTTGCTTTTAGTTTAACAATTGGAACACCAAGAACAAATTCCAGACTAGCAGGGTAGAGCAAAACTTTGGCAGTGAAATTATATGGCAATTTTCACATCTTTAAAAACCATTTACACAGCAATGTTCACGGAACATTATCTGACAAATAGAGGCCTGATGCACAAAATTCGTGCAACATTAGGCCTTCACTGCCTGGGCCCTCACAGCCCTGGATTCATCTGGAAGGTCGTCTGGACGGTCATTCCGCTGTTTGGCCATTCGGTTGATTTGCATATTAGGCTTTTATTATTGTAGATAGATTATAAAATTTGTTAATTTTGATGATGTAGGCTTGTATTTTGAACTATGCATAGAGAAAACTTTTGACTTTAATGTTATAAGTAGCCATTTCGAGTACTACTAGTATGTTTGTTTGAGGTATTTTTCACAGTGTTTATATGTAGCCATAATTTTGGCTAATGTTATTAATAGTAAACCAGAATTAATATGGACAGTCTTCTTTAAGAAAACATATTTTTTCAGTTTTATTTTTATTTTCTCTAATAAAACAATTTGATGGTTATACACTTTGGATTCCAGGAATCATTATTTGTGCCCTTTTTGTTTGATAGTTTGTCACTTTTTTCTCTGTGGTCTTTGGGACACAGGTGTTACCTATGTGATGATGAGGTCCAGTATTGTAGTTCAAACCGATTGGGTCAGGTGGTTGATTATGTCAGGAAACAAGCCCATATTACAGCTCCAGAATCAGGTAAAAAAAATCATTTGTTTCTTAATAGATACTGTAATGTTAGCTTACATATCTTTTGATATTTGAATAATTTACTGGACTACCCAGTATTGCATATAGTTGAATAATGTTAATTATGGTTGACTTTAAACTATGAGACTATTTTTGGTTTAAGGATGTAAAACTGAAAATATAGATAATTCTAAAATGTTAGAATTAGAAGGGAATCAGAAATAACCTAGTTCCCTGTGATGAAGAGTCTGGTCTCATTGATGAGCAGTCATGCCCTCCCTGCACAGGGGCTTAAAGTCGACCTGCTTTATTTTAAGACTTAAATTACTTTTATATATTTTTTATTGATTTCAGAGAGGAAGTGAGAGAGAGAGAGAAACATTAGTAATGAGAGAGAATCATTGATCCCCCTTCTGGGGATTTAGCCCACAACCCAGACATGTTGCCCTTGACTGGAATGGAACCTGAGACCCTTCAGTCCACAGGCTAACGCTCTGTGCACTGAGCCAAACCAGCTAGGGCAAAATCGACCTGCTTTAGACTGAACTTACTCTTGTTTGGATGATATAAAAGTAAGTACTTGTGAGTCCTTCACAAGACCAGATAGTTTTCAGCTATTTTTCACTCATAATTAAGTTAATTGGGTGCTGTGCATCCTTAGCTTTAGGTCTGTACAATCACAGAAGTGTCTTTGGCAGAGCCACAATTGTTTGTTCCTAACTTCAGGGTGCGTTTTTGAATTCATTACAAAATTTATTTCATGTCTACGTTCTTTACTTGATTGCTCTGTATTCCAGTTGTACAAGGTAAGATATATTCATTTGTAGAAAACTTTGTGCATTAACAAAGGGTTTTTTGCTAAAAAGCATAGCCTGTTTGGCTTTATTTGTCAGACTAATGCTCACCTCAGTTTTGAGTATTTTTTTATTTACTGGTTTTTCTTTCTCGATGGCAGTTTACTTATATTTATTAGAAAACATTTAAAATCAAGCAGGTGGCAAATAATGATAGTGGGTAAAATTCACAAACTCTAGTACTCCGTCCTCAGTATAACTTTGCATTTGATATAGCTATATTACACATTTTGCTAAATCATGTTTTCTTTCTTTTGTTTCCTAAAGCAGCCAAAGATAATGGTAACATTGAACTTGAAAATAAAAAATTAGAAAAGGAGAATAAAAATGAACAAGAGAGAGAGAAAAAGGAAAACATGGCTAAAGAAACTTCCATGAATTTTACTTCTCAAATATCTGTGAAAGGACTCAGTAATTTGGGGAACACTTGTTTCTTCAATGCAGTTATGCAGGTGCCAGTGTTAATTTTCCTCCTGTAAAAATCTAGGATCTCCCTCTTTGTTACTTCCAGTATTGAGTTTTTTTGCGTTAAGTAATTTATTCCCATGTTTTCAAAGAAAACTCAGGGTAGTACTTACTTTGCATGTCAGTAAAACACTGCTGAAGGGCTCAAAACAAACACGACCCTGCCCTCAGGACTTGCCATTGGTGGGGGAGTGAGGGCGGGGCTAACCGGGACAGAACAGTGGGTGCGTGGGCTGAGAGAACCGGGGTGGAGGCGGGTGGTGGAGAATGCCTTCCCAGGGGCTGCTTGTGCCCAAAATGGAAGTGCTGATGGGGGGGGGGGGGGCGGGGGGGGGGCATCCATTGCCTGTTTCCTGGATGGAGAGTCGAGATTGCAATGTTGGGATGACTTTATGTTTGGATCAAATGGGTTAATTTATCTTGAGATAACTTTCCTTTTCCATCCTACATTCCAGAATTTGTCACAAACACCAGTGCTTAGAGAACTACTGAAAGAAGTAAAAATGTCTGGAACCATTGTAAAAATTGAACCACCTGACTTGGCCCTGACAGTATGTACTTTAACATTTTATTTATAATCACAAATTTTCCTCTGTGAATGTCCATATTTTAAGTTACTTTAAAGCATTGATGCTCATTTTTATCATTTTTGTTTGTGGTATCTTAGGCTACCAAGTTAATGACTTTCAGACTAACCAAAAGTATAAGGAGCCACAAATTTTCCTCTGTGAATGTCCATATTTTAAGTTACTTTAAAGCATTGATGCTCATTTTTATCATTTTTGTTTGTTGTGTCTTAGGCTACCAAGTTAATGACTTTCAGACTAACCAAAAGTATAAGGAGCCCCCCACCCCCCCATTTCTTTATTGCTGCGTTGCTGTGTCCTGCTGTGCTCTCCTGTGTGGCTTCCTTCTTGGGAATGTTGGGGACGTTTGTGAGGCCCTGGGCATACAAAATTGAAGCCACATGAATTCCACCTTAGCTTTTGCATTAGGTCTTTTGCTTCTTAAGTATTCTAAGTCCCTGGTTATATAAAACTAAACCAGTAGAACTGAATTCTTCATAAAATAGTCTGTGACACAACCTTTCTATATCTGCTGATGTGTATTTTGAACTTTTCAATAACTCAATCAGGCACATTGACAGTATAGGTTAACTAGTTACATTTCACTAAGATAAATGATTTCTAAATTGGAATGATGAGAGTATTTTTTTGTTCCCATCTTCAGGAGCCCTTGGAAATTCATCTTGAGCCTCCGGGCCCTCTCACTTTGGCCATGAGCCAGTTTCTCAGTGAGATGCAGGAGGCCTCCAAGGGAGTCGTGACACCTAAGGAGCTCTTCTCCCAGGTCTGTAAGAAGTGAGTATCTGCGCTGTGGGTGCCTTCAGTGCCTGAGTCAGATGCTGAGAAATTCTATGAACATTTGTAGCACGAGAGCCAACCCAGTGCACACATGAAAGCATCGACTATTGCATCTGGGTTAAATAACGTGCTCTATGTGACAGTGACATCTGCCACGGGTGGTGTTGGACTACATAGAAGTTTTAAGAAACCAGAGCACATCGAGATTTGGGATATGATCCTAAGATTTTGTGGAAAGAGTTTCCCATTGTAGTGGACTCATCATCACTTTTCTCTTTCTCTGTTTTCCTTTCTTCTGTAGAGCAGTGCGCTTCAAAGGCTATCAGCAGCAGGACAGCCAGGAGCTGCTCCGGTACTTACTGGATGGGATGAGAGCAGAAGAACACCAAGTCAGCATGTTTTATAACCTCCTCTCACTCACTCTCCTGTCCTTTAGTATCTTAAGGGGCATTAGAGCAGTGGAGGTAGTCACTGAGGCCATTGGGTCAGCAAGACTTTTTCTGCACCAGCCTTTTCGGTCTGGCTGTCATGATGCTCTGTGTTGTGTGACGTTCCAGCATCATGTCATTCGGGGTTCTGTGGCCACACCCGTGAGCTCCAGTTCCCACACAGCACCTCACTCTGGTTCTGAGTGAGACTGCACAGCCTTCCGAGTCTGGGAAGCACAGTGGCTTCGAGTAATGGTTGTGTTGCTATCATGTTGATGAGCCTTAGGGCTTAACTCTTTAGGTCAATTAGGGTGGTAACATTGGTTTTGTTATATGTCGTTTTGCTTAAAGTCACAGAATCTACTGACGACGTTAGTAAAGATTTACTATACATCAACTCACTTTGTATGAGTTGGGACATTTGTCTCATTTTAAAGTTTTTGTTACCAGGATGGAAAGTAATGTACTTGGGGATGTGAATATAATTAGTAATAATATAGTGATATCAGCTAATATTTATTTTGCTCTTACTTTATGTCAAGCACTGTGCTTAGTATTTTATATGAATAGCTTAGTCTTCACAGTCATTCTGCAAGGCAGACGTGGTTACCATCCCCTCGCTCCTAGATTCTGGAGCTAGACTGTAGGAAGCCTCAAGCCCCTCGTGATTAGTGGGCTGTCCCTGTGGCTCTCCTCAAACCGTCTTGCCTCTAGGACGAAGCTCGGTGGTCTCTGCAGAGGAGATGGGCCTGTTCGGAAAGCTTTCGTTTGATAGGTTAAAATTTTGAAATGATATGGTTTTATAAGTATAATTCTTTTTAGCTCCTTGAATTAATTTTAAAAATGTGACTTTAGAAATATTAATTTTTATTCAGTAAGTTTGGAGAGCTAATTCTTGATCACTTTCTTGACTTTGATCACATATTTTCTAAGGAAAATAATTATAAAAATTTAAATTTAATAGTATGCATATATTCATTTTATTACTTTTAGAGAGTGAGTAAAGGAATTCTTAAAGCATTTGGTAATTCTACTGAAAAATTGGATGAAGAACTAAAAAATAAAGTTAAAGGTAATGTTTGACTTTTTGAACTAAACCACTGTAGTTCCCTGCCCCAGGTGCAGGTGCCTGCAATGTACTTTGCACCCAGCTATTAACATACTTTCTCTTTATCACCATTGACCTTTAAAGATTGTTCAGTACTTCAGAGATGGATATTTTACAAAAATTAAACTTCTGACGTATTCTTTTTATGCAATGTTATAGTGACATTTACAAAGATGGAGCTAAGATAACATCAATATTTGATTTTCAGAAGGTTAAGCTTCTAGTTAGCAGTGGTCAGTGAAGTACACTTGTCTGTGTGAGTTGGCAGGAGCTGGGTTATTATTGTGGAGCCAGCCTCGCTCGGACTGTTGTGTGACAGGTAGCGACCTGGCCTCGGTCTGTCTTGGAGCTTGTGAGGTTGGGACTCTGCTCTGCCTCCTGTGGCCACAGTCACCCCCGCTGGGTGCTGAGCCCTGGAAATGAGGTTGGAGCAACTGAGGGGCCACATCTTTATTTTTACTTACTTTGAATTAATTTGATTTAAATGCCCACAGGACCAGTGGCTACTGTATTGTAAACCACAATTTAGAATCAGCAGATAGCAGCTCTTTGCCTCTGTGGTGCCCCTAAGGGGCCTGGGTGGTGACAGAAGGACCTTTCTGCTGTCACTGTCCGTCACAACATGTGTTTCTGTATACATCGGCAGCTGCTATTTGAACAAAGTATGTAAATTTCATCTATTTAGAAAAAAGGGTGGCCAGGTAGTAAAATTACATCCCCTTATACCAAATTTATCAAGATTATTTCTGGAACATAGGAAAATAAAAGGAGGAATTTGAGATATTTTCCTTAAGGTTTTTCCTTGTTTGTTTTGCTCTGAGTGTAAGGAACTCAGTCTGAGCCGCCTCAAAGCAGGTCCCGTGCGTTGTCGCCAGCGTGCTGCCCAGTGTGGACGGGAGCGGGTGTCGTCAGCTCGCTTGTCTGCCCGCTTCTCTGTGGAGACACAGCGTCTCCCTGCCCTGCACAGCCGTTTTTCACTAATTAGGTCTGGGACGAGAACTTTTTCTTTTTCCCCGAGATGGGACTGTGAAATTTGTTGTGCTCAAAAGTGCAGTATGTGCTGCTGATTATAGAATAAATAAAACCATGGTAATTTTGTGAATAGAGAAAGACAAGCCTGAGACAGGAAATTAAAAAGTAAAATCTTAGGGCTAGAGAGGTGAAGAAGTCGATTTTGTAAGTGTAATGACACATTTCCTCCGTGCAGATTACGAGAAGAGGAAGTCAGTGCCGAGTTTTGTGGACCGCATCTTCGGTGGGGAGCTCACGAGCACAATCATGTGTGACGAGTGCAGAACGGTGAGTGGCGGTCGTGCTGGGGACTCACTGCCAAGACTCCGCCTGCCAGCTGTGCGTTCACAGAGGCTGCGCCACAGCCGTCCTCGGGGCCACCAGGCACCGTTCGCTGCTGGCCGGGCCTCTTGATATCGGAAGTTGTTCCCGTGTTCTGCTTCCCTAACCCACAGTTCTCAATGCTGTGTTTTTTCAAAGATTAGGCCCTGCCACCAGTCTTACTATTTGATGTTTACAGTGAATGTTTTCCTTCCTTTTACATTTTCTTTTTTGGTTGGTTAAGGTCTCCTTGGTTCATGAGTCTTTCCTTGACTTGTCTCTACCAGTTTTAGACGATCAGGTAAGACCGTTAGTTCATTTTATTTAAGTAGATTGTTTTCCTGTGTAGATTTAATGGGGGAGCCTTGTCACCTTTTCCAAGTGTGTACATCACTAGCCTTGGATAATTTTTCTTAAATAGTTGGATAAAGAATGGGGTAAATACTTTATTTACAAAAAAAGAGAAGACTGTGTTTGGAATTCTTTATAGTTAAATTGATTAGTTTATATGTAAAGATGTATTTTCTTCATATTAAAAGTTACTATTTATTTTCATTATTTAAGACTAACCACAAATGCCTTACAGTCCTAAGTTCTTAGATGTTAATAGAGACTATCTCAGTTTTAAGCCATATGAATTTGGTTTCTAGTAGTAGGAAAAAATGTTATGAATTTTGGATAAATCATTATTCAATTAAATATGAATCAGGGGTCCTTTTAATTAAAGTCTTACAAATTTATTTTCTTTCCCCAAAACTGTCATTTCCATGCAAGAAAAAAATGAGTAAAAAGAAACACCTACATTGGGACACAGAGATGATGGGACAGAAAGTGCAGTTGGAAGTGGACAGGCTCCATCGGGCCGCGGCCTGTGTCGAAGGCCGTGTGCTGCCCGCCTGCTGTTGCCCTTCCAAGTGGGCTTACTTTCTTTCTGTGGGCTTGCTTGTTTTGTCAGGATATGAAGAGTGCTGTTTAGTATTTGAGATGAACAAATTTTGTCCTGGGTATATTTTCAAACATTGTGGGAAATCAGTTACTGTAAAATAGGAGTAGAAAAATATTTATGTAGCATGAAGTCTCTTCACCAAATGTAAAATTTTATTTTTGGCCCATTTTTTCCCATATTTTAAGAGTGGTAAGAAAAATATTAATGATAAAAATCTGAAAAAGACAATGGAGAATGACGATAAAGACAGCGAGGAAGAAAAAGATAACGACACTTACATGAAAGAGAGAAATGATATTCCGTCAGGAATAAGCAAGCACTTGCAGAAAAAAGCAAAGAAGCAAGCCAAAAAGCAGGCCAAGGTGAGTCACTGGGAGACGGCCACCCTCCTCTCATTCCCTTTTCCGTTTTGAACGACTGCGTGAGTCAGACTGACGTTGTGAACAGGCCTCGTGAACGGCAGCTTTTGCACTCGAGTCCAAGCGTAGTTCCCTGCGTGTTCTCTACTTAAAAAAAGTTTAGTTCATTTTTAATGTTTTTGAGTTACTTATTCATTGACATCCAAACTTTAAAAATACATTCATGTGTACAAGTCCTCTTGACCCGTCCTTTTATGATACTCATAACCACTTCACAAGCTCATGTGTTCTCTGGAGTTTCATCTCCTTTTAGAAATTATGCACATGGTTTTGGACTTTGTTTTTTGTTTGTTTCTCCTTTATTAGATTATCTTTCCACTTTAGGACACAAACATTTGTTTTTGTTTTTTTAAATATTTTTATTGATTTAAGAAAGAGGAAGGGAGAGGGAGAGGGAGAGGGAGAGGGAGAGGGAGAGGGGGAGGGAGGGAGGGAGGGAGAGAGAGAGAGAGAGAGAGAGAGAGAGAGAGAGAGAACAAAACATCAGTAATGAGAGAGAATTATTGATCTGCTGCCTCCTGCACTCCCCACAGTGGGGATTGAGCCTGCAAACTGGGCGTGTACCCTGACCAGGAATTAAACACTGATCTCCTGGTTCATAAATCAATGCTCAGCCCGAGCCACACCAACCAGGCAGGTTGTACCAATTTATATTCCCACCAGCAATATCTGAGACTACTTTTTCTCCTTGTCCTCATGACTGTGTGTTCTCAGACGTCTAGATTTCTGCTCATCTGATGGTGGCATATAGTACCTTAGTGCAGCTTATTTTCCACTTTAAAAAAAAAAATTATATATATATATATATATATATATATATATATAATTTTTTTTTATTTTTTTTTTATTTTAGAGAGGAAGGGAGAGGGAGAGAAATTGAAATATCAATGATGAGAGAATCACTGATCCACTGCCTCCCCCCCCCCAACTAGGGATCAAGCCCAAAACTTGGGCATGTTCCCTTGACCGGAGTCGAACCTGGGACCTTTCAGGCTGCAGGCCGAAGCTCTGTCCTCTGAGCCAAACCAGCCAGGGCTATTTTCCACTTATTTTAATATAAGTAAAGTTCAGCACATTTTTATGTTTAAGAGTCATTTGTGTTTCATTAAAGTATTCACTTATGTTCTTTCCCAATTTTTATTTTTTTAATTGAACTTATTGAGGTGACATTGTTTAATGAAATTATATAGGTCTCAGGGGTACAGTTCTATGATACATCATGTGTGTCGCATCTTTCTTTAAGGTATGACTTTTACTGAAGCACCTAGGAGACCGTTTGTGTCCTGTGCTCCCTTCCAGCCCTCTGTTCACGTTAGCCTCATGGCCTGTCCTCTTAGTTACAGCCAGATGGTGACCCTCTTCAGGCAGGACTCTTGATGAAATGCCTTTGTCCCTCAGCACGGAAATAGGCTGCAAATGTGTCCCCTGTACACAAGGCTTCCTTGCTTCTTCCCTGACTTGGGAACATTTGTTTACTGAATGTTTCCCTCTGTCTCTGTCCACAGTAGCCCCGTCTCATCAGGGAAACCACCTGAGTTGTGTGTGTAAAGCAAGCATGTCAAACTCAAAGGCTAACGGGCCAAACAAGGTTTAAGTTTATGGGGGCCGAAAAATAACAAAAGCTTCAGTTTTCAAAGAAACGTAGGTTTATTTCGCTAGAGACATGCTGAATGCAAAGGGCTGAAATAAATGAGTCGTTACCATGAAATAATAGAACATTTTAATAAAAACTAATATTTTTCTTGAACATTAACTTATTAGAGACTGAATAACTGCATAATAAGTGTAAATCAAATAAACTTATTTTTCTTCTCCAAAAGCGAAGTATTTCCCGTTGTGCACACCAAAACAAGTCATTCCAAGACCAATGATGTGGCCATCAGCTGCTAAATATTAACTGCTAGTATTAGTGGAGAGAAATGGTGTTTCTGCACGTCAGGGAAATGATGCAACACAATCATAGTCATCAGTCACTATCGAACATTGTAGTTCGTCATTAATAATTATGTATAATAGGACATTGTAAAAATTAAGTTGTGAAATATTTATTAAAACGTTTCTTACATACTATTACCTTAGCTGGGCCACGAGTTTGACATGTTTTGTGTAAAGTGACTACAGGGTATAACGGTCTACTCCTCTGACGAGAGCACTCCTCTTAGAACAATATCCTGCACATTTTTATTTGTCCTAGGGCAATGGTCAGCAAACTCATTAGTCAACAGAGCCAAATATCAATAGTACAACAATTGAAATTTCTTTTGAGAACCAATTTTTAAAAAAATATATTTTATTGATTTTTTTTTTTTTTTACAGAGAGGAAGGGAGAGGGATAGAGAGCTAGAAACGTCGATGAGAGAGAAACATCGACCAGCTGCCTCCTGCACACCCCCTACTGGGGATGTGCCCACAACCAAGGTACATGCCCTTGACCGGAATCGAACCTGGGACCTTTCAGTCTGCAGACCGACGCTCTACCACTGAGCCAAACCGGTTTCGGCATGAGCGCCAAATTTTTTAAACTTAAACTTCTTCTAATGCCACTTCTTCAAAATAGACTTGCCCAGGCCATGGTGTTTTGTGGAAGAGCCACACTCGAGGGGCCAAAGAGCCGCATGTGGCTTGCAAGTCACAGTTTGCTGGCCACTGCACTAGTGTGACAGTTGTTTGTTGATTGATAGTTTATTCCTACTTTCAATCAAAGACATTTTCTTCAAAAACTTACTTGATCCCTGATAGTAAAGGAACTCTTAAGATCAGTTTTAGGGATAAATTCTTTCTTATCAACTTCATTTTTGATGAATAAGAGAACCTGATGTGGTACATGTACGCTCTTCCTCTCAATTAAAAAAAAAATGTTTTATACTTTTTACATAGAACCAGCGAAGGCAACAAAAAATTCAAGGAAAAGTTCTTCATTTAAATGATGATGTCTGTGCCTTGGACCATCTTGAAGATAATGAGTGTGAGGCTGAAATGTCAGTTCAGGAAGAAGTGGATATTAAGTCCAACCATGTCTCACAAGAGGAAGTTATAAGTAAAGAATATTGTGTTAATCCGAACGACTTGAATGGCCAAGAGAAAGTGATAGAAAATGTAACTGACAATCAAAAATTCACAGAGGACGTAGATGTGAAAAGTGTCAGTGTGGATAACGACCTGGAAGTTTTGTCATCTTCTCCCACTGACTGTCCTGGGAGTTTGAACGGTGCCTTCCTGGACGCAGGGGGCGGTGGGGAAGCGGACATTTCTAGGGGTTTCCGGAACCTGCACTTGGATGATGCTCTTCACCCTGACGACATCCATCTGGAGATTCTGAACGGCAGCCCTGCCCCCGGGACCACGCTGTACGAGTGTGTGGGCCAAGACCCAGAAACTGCTTTCTGTACCCTTGCAAACAGGGACGCGTTCAGTGCTGACGAGTGTTCCATCCAGCACTGCTTGTACCAGTTCACCCAGAACGAGAAGCTCCGAGATGCCAACAAGCTGCTGTGTGACGTGTGCACCCGGAGACAGTGTGGTGCAGCAAAAGCAAACCTAAAAGGTACTGACCCCTCAGAAAGCACCCTCGTGTGGGGCATGCTCTGCCATCGGAAGGCACTGCTGCACTAGTGGTGTTAGGACTTGGTGGCACCAGAAAATCCCCCTCCTAAATATTCAAATGGGAGGTCGGATTACCCCAACTGGATTATAGGGCTTCCCAACACTGTGCCCTTGGATACGTCCCCCATGGGTAACCGTCCCGAAGGGTCGTGGCGGCCGCCTTGCTTCCTCATTTCCCACCAGCACTGGGCTGGCCTCCCCTCCTTGCCCCAGGAAGCCACACTTTAATACCCTCAGGCACTCAAGGGACATGCCCAGCGCGGTCCTGGGGGCAAGGCTTCCTTAGTCTCCCTTGAGGGACGAGGGCTTGGGAAAGTGGGACAGGGAATGTGGATGCTTAAGGCTGCTTGCTAGATAGAATCTTTGAAACTAATTTTCAAGTCTAGTTTCTCATGTATTTACATGTCCACACAGAATAAACTGTTGTTTCCACCATTCTGTTTAGAGCAGGTGTTGACAAACTAGTCCCAGGTTCAATGTGGCCTGTGCCTGTTGTTGTATGGTCTCTGGGGAAATGCTTTTCATACATAGATATTTGAAAGTCATTTTATGGTAGAAAACACTAACTTTGAACCTCAGTTAACTAAATGTTTTTGGTTTTTTTTTTCTCAGTTAACTAAATGTTATCTCTCCAAAAGTAATTGCATTATTTTCTTCAGTAAACTCTTACCATACTTTATTACATTTTGAATTCCATCAGTAAAAATTTGTTGAAGTTTTTATCTGATGTATAAAATCCTTGATTGGTCCTTAGTCCATAAATCCTAAAATATTTACCTGGTCCTTTCCAGAAAGTGTACAATTCTGGGTTTTTCATCACAAACTGAATGCCTTAGAGTTCTAAAATGTTCACACTGCTGTATTTTTCCCCTTAGGTGAAAAGAAACATGTTTACACCAATGCCAAAAAGCAGATGTTAATTTCTCTCGCTCCTCCTGTTCTCACTCTTCATTTGAAGCGATTTCAGCAGGTACCCATTTGTTACCTGAAATGAATTTTAAACATGTAACACCTGCTTTATTTATGTCTCAACATAATACTTTTTCTTTGGTTTTCTGTTACTTCTTAATTCTACGTCGAAGAAATTTGAAAGTAAATATATATGTGTTTGTAAGACAAAACTTTTGATTAAAGTGCAAGTCAAGGAGTTGGAGGGTTTAGGCACAGTTCTTCCCATTTACTAGAGTTCACATTGCTCTTCTTAGTGCTGTGAGCATTGCTGCAACCTTAGTTACCTGCCCCCCTTAGAGCTGGCCCGCGTGCCTCTCAGAAGGGCATTCTGCTCAGTTTTCAGCACCAGACCTCAGGTCTAATGTGCACTCCTCACTGCCGAAGCAGAAACGTCATTTCCTCACAGGAGCAGCTCTCGTGTGTGTGTGTGTGTGTGTGTGTGTGTGTGTGTGTGTGTGTGTGTGTGTGCGCGCGCGCGCGCGCTGAAGTCGGGCGTCAGGGCTGGTGTCCGTAGCATGCACAGCTTGTTCAGGGCAAGAACCTAAACCCACTCCTCTTTTTCAGGCCGGTTTTAACCTACGCAAAATTAACAAGCACATAAAATTTCCGGAGATCTTAGATTTGGCTCCTTTTTGTACTGCTAAATGTAAGGTAGGTACAGTTTTCTTTTTGTGAAAATTCTTTAAAGGGAAATCATCCTTTCAGCAGCAGCTCACCACGTGTGAAGTTGAGTATTTCGGAGCACAGTGGATCTTTGGCTCCTGTGCCTTCAGACTTTCAAGGTCTGTGATGAATTGTTTTGAACGTCAGCTTTCAGTTCAGCATTTTTTGAACTCCCATTATTGTGGCAGATGTTGTCTGGGGAACTGAGGGCACAAAACTTAACGGTGAGTAGACAGTAATGGACAGTCAGTCTGTTCAGTGAGGCTCAGTGGTAAGATTGGTGCACCCGGAGCAGGGTGGCTCCAGGGAGGTTCTGTTGAGTGGACACGTCTCAGCCAGCACTGGCCTGGGACTGGTGCGTGAGTGGAGTAGCCATGTGAGGTGGCATGGGGGGGGAGGTGGGGGGAGTGCAAGCAGTCCTGGAGCTCACAGGGCAAGGTCTGCGGATTATGGGGAGCTGAGCTAGGAAGCTGGCTTTATTAGGTGAGCAGTGTGGAACCACAGAAGCAGGTCCCTGAAGATCTGTGAATTACGTGGGCTCTACCTGAAGCCTGGAGGCGGCTTTGAGGAGGAAACTAGAGGCAGGGGAACTAGTTGGAAGGCTGTTGAGTTCAATCTGTGGATGCTGGGCTTACACTAGGGCAGGAGAAAAATTAACCTGATTTGTGATCCAGTGGCCTGCAAGATAAGACGGAGGCCTTTTCATAAATGCTGAGGGTGACCAGAAAGGGGCGGAGCGTAGATCCCAGGGCCTGGCTGAATGACTGGGAGTGTGGACAGAGGGAATGCCATACACTGATGTGGGAAACCCACCAAGAGTGAGTGGAGAAAGTTGATAGTGTTCTGTTTGGGGCACAGAGTTTCAGACTTAGCCATCAGTGCTAGGTGGTGGTTCAAGCTGGGAGGTGAACGCAGAGCCATCAGTGATCTAGAGGTGGAAGTCTTTGCCCAGTTTGAATACAGCAGTCTAAGTACATCAGTCTTACTTTATCCATGAAACTTGAAATGACAGGAATTCCTCTTCCCCATCTAAACTGCCTGCAGCGGGTTTCAGAGCTGGCAGGTAGTGAATTGCAGTTAGTGTGTCCGTAGGCCACTGCCACTTTTGCTTTTGCTTAAATGCCATTGCCCTTTGTTCAGGTTCAAGGGAAGGGCCACATGTCTTTGACATTAGAATATCAGAGAACAAGAGTGGAAAATAGTACTGACTAAACAGTGTTGAGATCATGGCAAACTTCACGTGCTGTTAACTTCCAAGGGTTGAGACAGGAGATCCTAGGGATAAAGCAGGTAATCCATGAAGAGGTGTGGTTGGAAAGGAAAAATGGCAGATCCTTGAACTTTTTTTTTTTTTTAATCTGGGAGACTTAGGTAGGCTTGGAGTCAAGAGGAAAATGTAGACCTTGAAGATACAAAAGGTACAGATCCTTGATATGGGAAGGCCTTGAGGAGGATGACATGGCATGGCAGGGAGAACAGGCCCTGTGCAGTGTAGGTGAGGCCAGTTTCTGTGAAGGACATCCAAGGACAAGTGACAGGGTTGTGCTAAGGGAGGACTTCATGAATGTACTGCCTACATGTACAATGGTTTCCTAGCAACAGCAATTGTGTGGCTGGTTTGTGATGAACTGATGTGGCTAGTGCATGCAGGAGGCTGCTGCTCCTGGTCTCAGACCTCTAACACGAATGGGCATTGGAGCCACCAAGCAATCACTAGGCCACACGGGGTCTGAGCTGCTGCTCCTGCTCTCAGGCTGTCCCATTGCTCCTGTTCAGTTACACAGAGTCTTGGACAGGTTTTGTTTTTATTTTTTTAAAAGATTTTTATATTTATTTACAGAGAAAAAAAGGGGAGGGTTCTTTGGATACTTTTTGTCTGGGACCAAAGGAGGCAGGAGAAAGTGGGACTGGAGGGTCCTGTTAGGTTAGTCTGGTGAAGCGAGGCTGGAAGAGCTGTGCACCGAGATTAGACTTAGTCAGAATCTTGAACAACCTTGAGCGGTGAGGCTAAACTAGAACAGCAGGGACAGTACTGAGGGTCTGGACAGTTCCTAAGGAGGATGGCTGGATTTGGGGTAAAGCAGCATTAAGAGGGGTATTGATTAGAGCTGGGTGTACACACAGCACCACTGGAGGGCAGGTGCTGGTCGAGTGGTTGATAATGGCCCCAACTGGAGACACCTGTCTAAGTCCATCCAGCCTGTAACGGGCGGGACTGAGGCTCCAGAGGCGAGGGGCAAGGGGGGGAAGGGGGAGGGAAAGGGGAGTAGATGTTTTGAAATGTGGTAGTTTTTAGCAGGACCTAGGATGAGAGTGGTTGAGGCTTTTAGGATTATTGATGCTAACTCTCCTGAAGGAACTTGGGCAGAAGTGATGCCATGGGGTGGCCTCTGGGAAAGGGCCGTGGCTATTTTGTAGGCAGAGTGGACTTGGCTCAGTGGGCAATCAGATTCAGCCTCACTGGTGACCTCTGTGTAGGACACACGGTCATGCGCTCATTTCCCGTGTAGAAGGGACAAGAACTAACACGTGAGACCTGTTGGTTCTACAGAATGTTGCTGAAGAAAGCACCAGGGTGCTGTACTCCCTGTATGGAGTCGTGGAGCACAGCGGTACCATGAGGTCCGGGCACTACACTGCCTACGCCAAGGCAAGAACGGCGAACAGCCGCCTGTCTGACCTTGTTCTCCGTGGGGATGTCCCCCAAGGTGAGCTTTTCGGTTCTGGTAATGTGGCACACACTTGGCAAACCAGAAAGTGAAGAACTGAATCATCCCACTTACACTCAATTTTCCATTTCCTTGGCAGATTTTGAAATGGAGTCAACCAAAGGGCAGTGGTTTCACATCAGCGACAGCCACGTGCAAGCTGTGCCTACAGCTAAAGTCCTGAACTCACAAGCATACCTCCTGTTTTATGAAAGAATTTAAATTTTTATAACAGCTGTAATAAGTAAAGACTGACTAAATCATGTTCACGGTCAATTACATCCACATCAGGAGAAATCTCGTGTTGAAATATCAAAGGAACACCTGCAGGTTGACCACAGTTTTGTCCTGTCACCTGTCGTCATGGTGTTCCTTCCCGCTTCCAGGTTCTGGACGGATTCTGGATCAAGTCCTCTGGTTAATGTGTCTGGTGGTTACAGCACATCAATAAACTGACTTACCCCAACACTTGTTTTATTCCTTACAAATAAGATTGTAAACTGTGTTGACCCTCCAGGTAACATCTGACTAAGGGAACTTCACTCTGTTAATTTTTTGAACATATGGTAGGTATTTGATATTGGCAGTGATGTGTGACGGGCAGAAGCAGGTCTTGAACACTGATGCCACAGTGGGCATGGCTGCATGTAGGCTAACTGCAATTAACTGGCTGCAATTAAGGTCCCCTTAAGGCCAGCGTGCCGGGGGAGCCTGCAAACTGCCCAGTTTACCAGACTGTCAACAGTCCTGGGAGTTTCTCTAGGAATTTGAGGACCCCGACTACGAAGTTACTGAAGAGGTGTCACTTTTAACACGTGTAGAGCTTAGCTGGGACCCTGTCAGCCACCAAAAACAATATAAAATTTGGAAGTTTTCCAACACATACGTGACACATCCCATAAACATTAGTTAACTTTTACTTATCTTATGAAAGCAAACTTGGTTAATTTGTGCTGGTCAGGAAGGGCATGCTCAGCTGTAGCACAGCATCTTTGCAACTTTGTGGCTAGAATATAAGGATTTCAACCCTTCACTGCTAATGAAACAAGTTACTGTGAGTCCTAGGGTTTCCAGAGTTAGGATAAAAATAATGAAAAACCTAGTTCAGGAGGCAACAGGCTTCCAGTAAAGACCAGTCAGTATTTCAGCCTTGGGCCACCTGGTCTGTCACACCCCTTCACAAGGCCAAGCCCACGAGAGCAGTGCAGACCATGTCTGAGCACAGGAGCACAGCCATGTTCAATACAATGCATGTACCGCCAGGCAGCAGGCCAGGCACACACTGGAAACAGGCCCGATCACTCCCACAGCCAGTTCATGAACCAGGTCGAGCCCAGTCTTAGATCCAAGGACGGTGCTCAACAGAAATGAGGCTTTGATAGTAACAACACCTTTACTGCATTGTCCAGCCAAGGACACAAATACAACACTTCTTAACTTAAGAAAAGCGCCAGGTAATACCTACTCACTACAACTACTACCTACAGCAAAATTAACCCCTCAGTCATTTTGGTCGTCATCCCAGTCTTTCTTCCCAGTGGGAGGCTTGGGCCCACCGGCTGGTTTGGCCATGATGATCTGCAACAAAAAACAAGAGTATACTTAGAAACTCAAGCTTTAGGAGGAAGAAAGACGTTCCTAGTGGCCTGGCTGAAGATTGCGCAGCCATCTAGCGATGAGCCATGGGTTCACAGTGCACATAAAGTTCACCCCCACAGCAGACCTTGGTCAGCACTCAGCAGGGCGTTCCCCGCTTTCCTCATTAACCCCAACAAAACGCACATTGGTTAGGAAAGGCATTCAATCCCTCCAAAACGTGCAGGTCAACACCCATGAAGCCCGAGAGACTGGCATGCACCACCGGCGTGAACTAATCCACATGGCACCCGATTTGCTATTTATACACGAGTGTTGTCTTGCCACCATCTTTATCACAATTTCCTTGAGGTGTAGGAACTTTAGGTCCACCTGCTAGTTTTGCCATTAGAATCTGAAGAGGTTAATCTTGGGAGAAGCAAGTGAGGTGGAGACTAGCAACCTGAACACAGGGACCAGTTGGTGATGTTTACAGGAATACAAATTGCAGCTTGGTACAAGGAAGCCCCTTTCCCCTCACAAGAGACCAGAAACACAGCTGGGGTTTTGTATAGTTGATTTAAAAAAAAATATATATATATATCTTATTGACTTTACAGAGAGGAAAAGAGAGGGATAGAGAGTTAGAAACTGATATCAGCTGCCTCTTGCACACCCCCTACAGGGGATGTGCCTGCAACCAAGGTACATGCCCTTGACTGGAATCGAACCCGGGATCTTTCAGTCTGCAAGCTGATGCTCTATCTACTGAGCCAAACCAGTTTTGGCTTGTGTAATAGATTTATTAGTTGGGTGTGTTTATATTGATGTATTGGGTAGTTTTCATTGAAAATATGTAATTTCTAGTTTTAAAATATAGCAGAAGCCTAAGGAAATGTGTATTCTAAAAGTTATCATGTGGCTAAGAATTAAAACTACCAAAAGTAAAAGGGAAAGGCAATGGGATCAGATTGGCTACAGTCGCTGAGTGCCTCGGGCACAAAGGTGCTTTTGGGTCTTGGGTTTCAACGGGAGCCTGGGCTTTGTTAGTTTATCGTTGTCTGCCTGGTCTGCATTTGGGAAAACAGGTACCCAGCAGCCATCTGACCACACTCACGAATTTGTGTTGCTGCCGTGAGTTTGTACCTAATTTTGCGCAGCATATATTCTGGGATGGGACTTGGAAATCCAGTTTTAAGTGTTGGATAATGTAGGAGGGATGGATTGATCTTTGTCAAAAAACAGTCCACAAATCAGCATCACCTAAAACTTGTTAAAAATTCAAATTTTGGGGCCCACCCCAAACTCACTGAATCAATAAATCTGGAAGGAGGTCCCGCAATGTATTTTAAAGAAGCCCAGAAAGTTTGAGAACTAGTCTAGGTACTTTTAAAAAAATCAAGCTACACTTAGATATCTGAAATTAACTGATTCCTTTAGTTCAATCTGAACTTACCTTCAGTTTGTAAAGTGGTATTCTAAGAATTTAAGATTCATGATTCTTATGGAAGCTTCTGAAAAGAGGTGTGAGGGAGTGGTATTGTGCTTTAAACAGAAGCCAAACATTCCTTAGTATAAATTTGTGAGGTAATAACTGTTTCTAGTTTTGAGATTCAGAAATTATGAATTACAGTGTTCTGAGGAAACCCAACTAATTTAATTTTAGACTCCCCAAATTAATTTCAGCCCTGAACTATCACCTCTCTTCTCCCTTTTTTCCAAACAAATCCTTCTATATAATAAAAGGCTAATATGCAAATTGACTGAACTGCGAAGGACTGGATGTGCACTTACCACCAGGGGGCAGACGCCCAACGCAGGAGCTGCACCCTGTGGTCAGTGCACTCCCACAGGGGGAACGCCACTCAGCCAGAAGCCGGGCTGGCGGCTGGAGAGCGCAGTGGCCCACCTCTGCGGCTGGGCTAAGGATGTCCCACTGCAGCTCTGGCCGGCTCCCTGTCAGTCGGACATCCCCTGGGGGCCCCCAGACCGAGAAAGGGCACAGGCTGGGCAGAGGGACCCCCACCCCGAGTGCACGAAGGGTGTGCCCGGGGCCTCTAGTCCTTTAATGATGCTAGATGGCGGTTCCTGGGGAATGCTGGGCTGCACATGGTAGATGAAGCAGAGGCTTCTGGTGTGCGCTCTCCAGTCACCAGGGTGCTGGGCAGGTGAACTGTTCACACCCTCCTGCCGCTGGTGCACCGCTAGCAATTTCAGTGTTGAACTTAGTGTGTTTATGTATTAGCGTGGCGTAATTGTCACTTAATGGGCATATGCTGTGCTCCCACAAATTACAACTTCCTATTAAGTACTTATAGATATTTCATTGCTTAGAATCACTTCTAGAATTTTTTAGAAAAATGAACTTCATTAAGTTTACTAGAAAACACCTTGAAAAATTATGAATTTGGGTTTGTCTCTAAACCTAGTCATTACCACAGTTTTTAAATGCAGAGAAATACTATTTCTAATAGCTTTAAATCTACATGTAATTTGTTGCAGCAGAAAAGTTAAACATCCAGTTCCTACCGCCTCATGAATTCCCTACAAGCGGTGACCTGCAGTGTCTGCCCTCTGTCCTGCCTCATTCCTCACCAATGTCGCCCCAAAATTCCTCTCCGTGCTGTTTTACAAAGGGCCTGAAAATGAGGACTATAAATCCAATCAGTCTGAGCCATTCCAGTTAAAGAATAAAGACACCGGCCCAGCCAGCAAGGCTCAGTGGTTAAGTATCGACCATAGTTCGATTCTCGGGGAAGGCATATGCTCGGATTGAGAGCTCAATTCCCAGTAGGGGGCATGCAGGAGGCAACAGATTTTCTCTCATCATTAATGTTTCTACTGCTCTTTCCCTTCCTCTCTAAAATCAATGAAAACACAGGTGAGGGGAAAAATAAAGAATACAGATGCTGGTGCCAGCCCTCCTACACCCATCAGGCGCAGACGAGGCCACTCCTTTGAGCAGAATGAGAACTGTGCTCGGCCTAGTTCCATGAAAACACAGTATTGAGCCCCATGAATATTAGTTTTCCTGAAGATCAAACCTCCCTCCCCTCACCTGGTCCACTCTGAGCACAGTGACGGCGGCGTTGGTGGCCAGTTTGATGGCCCAGTACTTCCCCAGGTACGTGTCCAGGACGCCAGCCTCCAGCATGTCCTTCACGGCAGGGACTTCAGCCTGTTGGCAGAGTTCTCACTTTAGATTCTTTTATGTGGAAATGTTTAAAGGACAAAAGTGCTACCCTACACACCCTACAGAAGATTATTAATAAAACAGGAACACTAAATTCTCATTCCTTTTCTTACACAAGTATTTCTACTTTCAGGTTTTGCAGTCACAAAATAAAGTTCAGTGTTTTTTCCAAATACCTCAATATCTAATCCAGCGTTTTTATTTCCTTCCTGATGTACTGCATAGAGTTTGGAGATGACTTCGTTGGCTTTAACCCCCGAGTTCTCGGACAGTGCCCGCGGAATAGCTTCAAACGCCTCTGCGAACTTCTTGATGGCGTACTGTTCCAGCCCAGGACACGTCTGCGGCAGAAACAAGCTCGTCAGTGGATTGTTCACGCCCAGGAGGAAAGCTACTGCCCTGAGAGCGGTACCTCTCCGTAGGACGTGATCTGCTTGGCTAACTCGATTTCTGT